GAACAAAACTCATTCATAGTTTTTTAATTGTCTGTATTATGTAATACGCTGTTTGTACAATGCCCAAATCACACACATCTTGTTTCACAGAATGTGTCATGAACATGACTGTATACTATTAGTTGTTGTTGTTGTTATTGTTGTGAAGTGCCTTAGAGTCGGTTCTGACCCATAGCTACCCTGTATAATAGGGTTTCCCAGGAGCAGCTGATGAGCCTTAAATGCTGACCCTGTGGTTTAAAACAGACTTTGCCTATGGTACCATTTATGTTTTCTTAGAAATATTTGCTTTCCTAGCATTATAAATTTAACTGTAGCACTAACCCTACACTTCACAAAGAAAATGCATTTTTCTTTCCATTGTTTTTAAAATGTTGTTCCCTATTTCCACCCATCCTTATAAAATTTAACACTCACTTGGAAATTTATAGAAATGACAGAAATGAATGTGACCGTATGTCACTGCTGTTGGTGCTGCAGGATAAGCACTGAACTGCTAACCATAAGGCTGGCAGTTCAAAACCACCCATTGCTCCACCACAGGAAAAAGATAAGACTTTCTGCTTCCACAGTCTTGGCGGGAAACCCTATACAGAGTCTGCAGGGGTCAGAACCAACTTAACTGCACTAACATCAACCTATGTCAACAGAACAGAAGAAAAGCCAAGACAAAAAAGGCTGCTAGGGTTGGCGCTAACATTTGTCCTTGACTTGAATGAAGCAAATTCCCAATGTCATAAAGTTCCAACTATCACTCCACAGCTGAAAAGAACAGATAATAAAAACAAGTTCTTTTGTTTTGATTCATTTATTTATTTTAAATGTCTACAGAGAGATTTGGAGTCCTGGTATGGCACTGCAGGGTAAGTACTTGTCTGTTTATCTGACTCCAACAGCAAACATTTAAAGTCTACCAAATATATACATCATGGTTCTCCTTGCTCACAAAGAGAAGACTGAGACAGAACTTCCTCTTTCTCTTATTTAAAGAACAGGATAGGTTCTGAAAACTTCCAAATGTGATCTTTACCTCTGTTGTTTTTAAGTGTCATTGAGTGCCATTGTGACCCTGTATAGGGTTTACAAGGATCGGCTGGTGAGCCTGAACTGCCAATCTTACAGTTCAAATAGACTTTACAGTCCAGCACATTAACCCACAGTGCCACACCAGGACTCCTTGACCTCTACCTATACTAAAAAGATAATTTACACACAGTTTTGGGTTTTTTTTCCTTAAGTGTGCTATATAAAATGTAAATGTATTAAAAATAATTCTTATGCAATTTTATTATCAATTTAATTGATTGATTTAGCTAGCTTAATAGAGCAGCAGGCCAAGCCACAGATAAATGTATCTTACTTCCTTTTTTTCTGTTAGTAAAATAAGGAATCCCAGCTCCACAAACAAAGCCCTGATGTGCTGCTGGAGGATAAGCACTGGTCAAGGTTGGTAGTTCAAAACCACGAGCCAGTCCTTGGAAATCCAATACAGGGATGCTATGCGTTGGAATAACAATAACACTCCCCAAGCAGGGAGCAAGGTAGCTCTGTAGAACAGGCACTGGACTGAGAACTACAAGGTCGGCAGTTCCAGCCCACCAGCCACTGCACAGGAGAAATGTGGCTTTCTGCTCTTGCGAAGATTTATACTTCCGAACTACAAACGGTTACTTTGAGTTGGAACTTACTTGACAGCACTTAATAACAACAATAATAACTCCCCAAACCGTTACAATTGAAATTTTAATGTCAATAAAGGGTCATACACCAAGGTGCTCATGTATTCCCAAATTTCTTTTCTGGATTTAGGATGTAGGTAATTCTTAACAATTGTTATTGCTGTCAGGTGCCGTTGAGTCAGTTCCAACTCACAGCAACCGTATGTACAATAGAACGAAACACCGTTCCATCCTACGCCATCCTCACAATTGCTGATATACTAGAGACCATTGCTGCTGCCACTGTGCCAACCCATATAGTTGGTTGGGGGTCACCCTCTTTTTCACTGACCCTCTACTTTACCAAGCATGATGTCCTTCTCCAGGGACTCATCCCTCCTAATAATATGTCCAAAGTATGAGAGACCAAGTCTTGTCTCTTGGCTTCTAAGGAGCAGAAATTCTGGTTGTACTTCTTCAAACACAGATTTATTTGTTCTCTGGGTGGTCCATGGTATTTTTAATACTCTTCTCCAACACCATAATTAAATACATCAATTCTTCTACGATCTTCCTTATTCACTGCATAGGATGTTATTGAAAAAATACCATGGCTTGGGTCAGGTGCACTTTAGTCCTCAAAGTGACATCTTTGCTCTTGATCACTTTAGAGAGATCTTATGCAGCACATTTGCCTAATGCAATACTTCATTGATTTCTTGACTGTGTTGATGGTGGAGCCAAGCAAAATGAAGTCTTTGACAACTTCAATCTTTTCTCCTCTTATTATGATGTGATTTATTGCTCCAGTCGAACATAAACAAACTAAATCACCAAGAATCCAAACCAGTAGATAAATGAGTACATTTCCCCTACTGAAAACTCTGCTACCACCTTTCTGATTTTGAAAAAAGGTGCAGAGAAGTTACCCTGAGTTTAATTTCTACTGACAGGCTGGAATTAAAGGGCTAAAATTAAAACATATGAAGCACGATACGCTTATATTTGCAGACATCCCTAATTCATCTGCATCCATATAAAAGTGGTCTCGAGCAGATTCCAACATAAAACGACCCTTTATCGGGTGTTTTCCAAGGAGTAGCTGGTGGATTTGAACTGCCAACCATGTGCTTTAGCAGTACAGTGTGTATCCTACAGGACCACCAAAATAACTCTAATACTTCAGTTCTTCTTTAACCATCTGCTCACCCTCACATATTGTGAAACGCTCACTGCCTAGACTGTATCGAGCCTGTTGGGTCACTACCACAGGACTGGGAGCCATTCCCCAATCCTGCACTGGACGGGAGATCTAACTCATCCGGGTCCTCAGTCTTTGGAATCATAAACCACCGAAGTGGCTGGAATCACCTTAAGGAAAATATAGCCCATGGTCAGAAGGGACATTGGAAAATGCCATGGAAAAAAACAACTAAAATTCAAGAACCTCAAAATACAAGAATTCTAACATGAGAGAGCTTCAAAGAGTTTGTGGAAAATGGGATTCTACAGTGGTATTTTCCCATCAACTGTCTAAAGCCCTTTCATATAATCAAGAGCAAAGGTGTCAGTTTGAGGACTAAGGTGCACCTGACCCAAGCCAGATGAATTGACTCATTTGAGTTACAGTGTTGGAGAAGAATATTCATAGTACCATGGACTGCCAAAAGAACAGACAAATACATGCTGGAAGAATGCTCCTTGGAAGCCAGGATGGCCACACTTTGCGTCTCATACTTCGGACATATTATCAGGAGGGACCAGTCCCGGAGAAGGACATCATACTTATGAAGTAAAGTGGGAGGTCGGAGCAAAAGAGGAAGACCCCCAACAAGATGTACTGGCACTATAGCAGCAGCATTGGGCTCTAGGGTAGCAATGATTGTGGGGATGGCGCACGACCAGGCAGTGTTTTCTGCTGTGCATATAGGGTTGCTCGATAGCATCTAACAACAAACATATAATCAGCATAATAACCAATATGCAACTTGAGCAAATCTCTGAATCCACACAGGGCTTTGTTATGTTCAAAGAACATTGAGAGAAAATCTCAACACACATATTACAAATAAATTTGCAATCAAACTACAAAGAGCTACATAAATGGCTGTATCGTTTCTTTTAGAGAGGAAATATGTACTATGTTTTTATGCAAAGCCAGTATCCTCAGCTAGGCAAGCCACTGATTTTTTAAACAAGGGGCAGGCAGTTTTCAGAACCCAGACTATGAACAGACAAAAGAAACCACCACCCCATCCACACACAACACACACTACGATATGTAATTCTAAACAACTTGGGTAACAGCATGTGTTGCTATCTGAATTACATACCACCCAATAATTTCAGAAGTCCTGTTATAATGCTGTCGGATAAAAACTAGACTGCTAACCACAAAGGTAGGTGGTTCAAACCCGCCAGCTACTCCTAACAAAACCCTAGACAGGGTCACTAAGAGTCAGAACGGATACCACGGCAATTAACAACAACAGCATAAGTTTTCAATATTGGGCTTTATTGTTGCTGAATTCTTTTTAAGGATATGAGAGACAAAAGGGGAAACCATTAGGTGCATGAATTAAATGGAAACAAATGATCATGAAGGAAAAATTTGAAGCTTGACATAAATAGCAAAAGGGAGTCAACAAAATGAAATCAAAAAGCTCTTCTGATTCCTAAGTGACAAGGGAAAATACATTTCTTTGAATGAAGAATGAAAAATCTGTGGATAACCACATTACCAAGTTAACTGGATTAATGAGTTAAATGTATTTCTCCACCATAGAACACAAACTATTTCCACATTAATTAATTAAATTAATTATGTTCTGTGTAATATATTACAGAACAACAACATTTACAGTATGCCCAATACATGTATTAAGTATATCTGAAGTTAATAGGGCACTTATAAGGAGAAAAAAAATGTTTTTCTTGTGAAAAAGTCTGAAGTTTCAGAAAAATATGTACACCTACAAACTTGAACCTAAAGGCCAAGAGTGGAAAAGAAATTAGGTCAAGTCTGAACAAGCCAACATAAACCATAATGGGAAACAGACTCTTCAAAACTGGTATACTGTCTTTGGGGCACTGTGGTCTTCAACTAACACAGTATGTTGATGAGTAACTGCAGGGCAGGTCCTTAAAGTTTTTACAAGCAAAGAAAACATTTCTAAGGCCTCAAGGAATGTGAAAAAATCATAAGCTTTTCTTCAGAAGTTATTTGAATAGCTAAGCCAGGGGAGAGTGGTTAACTCAGGAAGCTACAGAGAATATTCCTTTTGAGTGTTTGCTACCAGCGTAAATCAAGAAAGACCAACTTGGGCATTTTCCTTTTCCTACCTCTTCTAGCCGCCGCCTCTGCTCTTTCTGCTGCTCAATGCGCTTTTGTCTCTCTGCTAGCAACTGTCTTTTATATTCTTCCTGCTCACGGAGCTGTTGCTCCTGCAGTAGCTGTTGTCTCCGAAGAGCTTCAGATCGTTCCTTGTTCTCCTGCTGTAATCTCAAAAAATCCCGTCGAAGAGTAGACTCACCAGGCACGTTAACAATGGAGCTGTAAAAGGAAGCAGGCGTTTTAAGGGATGTGTCCAAATGGCACAACCCTCTAAATGAGGCAGTGCCATCAACATTCTATTTCCTTTCTACGTTTAGTCTCTTAGTAAGTTACTCCCACTTTGGGGATTTATCTATTAAGTCTACAGAAATGACTAAATCTACACCTCAATAGTCCTATCTATGTCTTCAGTTCTTCAGACAGTAAAGATTTAAAAGCTGGAGGTTTATTTCCCAACTATTTTCAAGACATCTTTACTTAGGATTCTCACATTAAATTCAAAATACACAACATGGCATACTCTTCTGCTTCAACATCACTAGTGCCCCTTCAACTACTAGATTTTCCATCAATAAGGGGAACCACATCCATAAACTCGTATCATGTATTCCCCTCCCTCTTAGTTTATTCTCAAGGTCAGCAGCTGAACCCAAGTGGATCCCATGAATTGGTAATTTCATTGTTGTTGTTGTTAAGTGTCTTTAAGTAGGTTCCGACCCACAGCAACCCTGTAAAGTGTTTCCACAGGGTGACTGGTAAGCCTGCAGTTCAAAGCAAGTTTGCAGTCTAGCACCTTACCCCACAGCGCCACACCAGGACTCATAATTGCATAGATAAATTAAATTGCATCAATAAATTAAATTGCATCATTCCTAGCTGGTCAACTTGCTGCAAGAGATTTCTCTACTTTCAAACTACCCAAACAACATGTCAAACAAATTTCATGAAACGCCTCTTTTATTAAAGCATGCTTTTATACAAAAGTTCTAATGTTCATAAAACTGGCTCAAATTCCTCCAAAATAGTTACTATGAAAGGAATTCAAATCTTCTACACAAAGAGTAGCTAACAGCTACTACAGAGGTTCTTCAGTAAATTCTCCTTCATCTCTTGACACTCGCTCTACCAACTTGCATTTTCTGGTGCAGAGGTCCCCTCAGGTTCTTGCCCTAGCCTTCTAGCTCTCTGTGTTGTGGCAGTCAAGTGTGGCTGCAGCATGAATGACTGACAAGCAAAGCTGTTATTAAAATCCTCAGCTCCTCTGTCCCCTGATTAATCACCTATTATGGGTGACTCTGCAGGATAAACACTGGACTGCACATCAAGAGGTCAGTGGTTCAAGCCTTGCAGTCAGTTCTTCGGGAGACAGATAAGGTTTTCTGTCCCCACACAGACTGACAACCCTGGAAACCCTTTACAAGGCCTCTGTGAGTAGGAACCAGCTCAATGGTACTTAACAACAATACCATGAGGACATTTACCAATTTTACTTCTTTATCTTCTGCTTTGCTGTTCCTCAGAAAGAAAAGGTAAGCCAAAACACAGATCTTAAGCAGGTTCAGGACAGAATACCCGTGTTGGTAATCGTACTTGTCAGAAGAGTACATTCACACACAGAATAAATACATAAACTTCTTTGGGGAAAGACAGGACGTGGTGCAGTGTTTTCTAAGACAGGCCCTGCGTCACATAAACACCGCAATTCTGGTTATACAGGGCTGTCCTCCATACCACAAGGCATCGCTCGTCTGTGCTTCCTGCAGCATTAAAGGCCAGTGGCAACTCCATTTCCAAACGACTGGGAAGAAGGGCACACGCAATCCTTGGTAAAGAACCACTGGGAAATATGGACATGGGAATCTTTCAAATAACAGAGAAGAATCAAAGACATTAAGGCACTTTCGGATTATTAAAGATTCCTTAATACTACATAGGAAGCTTTGAAATCCAAGCAAGATTTCTTCATACTGTGTAGACATCTTCTGAATTCCAGGCATCACCATAAGACTGAATCTCTTCATAAAGTAGGAAGTTGAACATTCATGTTATCATTACCTTGGCTCTCCTTCCTGTTCAGGCACTTCCTCCTCTTCTTCCTCACTTCCACTGTACTCATACTCTGTTTCATCTATAAAGAAAAGGACAAAATAATTGACGCTGTTCACAAATAATGACAAACGTGTGTAGGCAAATACATCCAATGCTATGACAGAAAGGAAATGATACTCTCTTTGTGAAAATCACCAAGTTACACTGGAGAACTTGGGGGAAGGAGAGGTTCCATACCAAACTCCCACAGCAAACTGTGGCAACTCTCTGGGCTAGCCACCCATGTTGTTGTTGTCAAGTGCCATCAAGTCAGTTTAGACTCACAGCGACCCTATCTATGTGCAACAGAAACAAACACTCTCCGGTCCTGCACCGCCCTCACATTTTTTGTTCCGTTTGCACTCATTATTGCTGCCACAGTGTCAATCTATCTTGTTGGAGGTCTTTCTCTCTTTTTTTTTTTTTTTTCTTCACCAACCCTCCACTTTTCCAAGCACAATGTCGTTCTCCAGGGACTGATCCCTCCTAACAACGTGCCCAAAGTATGAGATACAATGGCTCACCATCCTTGCTTCTAAGAACATTCTGGTTGCACTTCTTCCAAAACATTATTTGTTTGTTCTTCTGGCAGTCAGTGGTACTTTCAATACTCTTTACCAACATCAAAATTCAAATGCATCAATTCTTCTGCCATAGTCCTTATTTATTATCTTTCATGTACATATGAGGCCACTGAAAATATCATGGCTTGGTTTGCTGTTCAGTTCTGTTGGGTTGGTTCCGACCCATAGCAACTCTGAGGAACAACTAGTGAGTCTCAACAGCCGGCTTAGCGGTTCAAACTGACTTTGCAGTCCAGCGCATTAGCTCACCATGCCACACCAGGAGTCCATGGCTGGGGTTAGGTGCATCTTAGTCCTTGAACTGGTATCTTTGCTTTTGAATACTTTAAAAAGGTCTTGCATACACAGATTTGTCTAACACAGTATGCCATTTGATTTCTTATCTGCTGATTCCAACAGTATTGACAATGGATCCAAGCACAATGAAGTTTTTGACCAATTCAATATTCTTCCATTTATCATGATGCTATTTATTGGTTCAGTTGTGAGAATTTTTGGTTTTCTTCACATTGAAGTCCAATCCACACTAAAGGCTATACGCTTTGATCTTCATCAGTTAAGTATTGTAAGACTTCTTCACTTCCAGTAAGTAAGGTAGTATCATCTGTAATATCACAGGTTTGCCACGTTCTTCTTTACATAATTCAGCTTCTTGGATTATTTGCTCAGCATACAGACTGAATTAAGTCTGGTAACAGGTCACAATCCTGACTCATACCTTTCCTGATTTTCAAACCATTCACTATCCCCTTGTTCTGTTCTAAGTACAGGTTCCTCATGAACAGTTAAGTGTCCCATAGTTATCCACAGTCTGTCATGATTCACATAGTCAAAAGTCTTTGCAAAGTCAATAAAGCACAAGTAAACATCTTCCTGGTATTCTTTGCTTTCAGACAAGATCCATCTGATGTCAGCAATGATACCACTAATTCCACGACCACTTGTGAATCTGTCTTGAATTTCTGGCAGTGTTCTCTCGTATTTTTGCAACCATTTTTAAATTATCTTCAGCAAACTTTTACTTATATGTATTATTAATGATATGGTGTGATGATTTCTAATCTGTTGGCTGACGTTTCTTAGGAATAGGCACAAATCTCTTCCAATTGGTTGATGGACTTCATATTCCCTAGGGAAGAGTTGACTCTGTTTCACTCAAGACACCCCTTATGGAGATGAACTGCAGAAGGGGTGCAGAGCCGTGAGAAACAGCTCCAAAGCACCCAATAGTGACAACAAATTTAGGAAGTCCACATTGATACCAAAACTGAAAGGAGGTTTAACTGCTAAAAATTAATGAGACAAATAGAACATACGTAAGAGCAGAAAACAAAGTCAAGCATCCCCAACAAATCATAAAAGGTTCAAGGAAAAACTAAAGAAACAATACAGCCAGGAAAATAAAATTTAAAACCTGCTCTGCTTAAACAAGGCTTCACATAAAAGTTTCCATATCAATAACTTTTTTCAACTCCAAAAGGGTTTTGTTTTGTTTTTTTAAATCATTTTTCTAAAAGTAAAAGGCCAGCCTTTGTGTTCCTTCACTTCATGTCAGTATCCAGTTTAAGTGAGCAGTTTTACACCAGACAGCCATCAAAACAGGACACGTAAAAGAGACAATAAAGCAAGTACTCTTCACAATCTAGAAATACATTTCTATTTTTCAAAGACTTAATAAACAAAAATCACTTTTCGGGATAAGATAACCCTGAGAACCTAAAATGAATTAGGAGAAGATCATCCCATATAGAGTTCTTTCTGTGCTAGATATAAAAATCTTAGAAATCAAGAATCAAAGCTAATAAATACTTATAGTGGACACACACAGATACTCATTTAAGGGAAATCCCAATTCATGTAATTTTTGGAATCTTTTAAATACATACTATGGTATGTTTAAAATTTTGTATTATGAACAAGACAAGGTGAGAGTATGTAGGAAGTGAAAAAAGCAAAGAGAAAAACAAGAGGCCACTGGGAGTTGGGAAATAATGGGAAAATGATCCAGTAATTCAGAAACTACTTAAGATTCAAATGAATGTGTCAGAAAATGACTTTTTATTCAACTGGGATTACCTGAACTTGCTCTTTTAAAAGAGTTTCTTCTTTTGCCTTAAAATTTAAGTGTCCAAAAGAAAGAATGAAAAGAAACACATTCACAGGATGCCAGTTATCCAAAAGTTCTATAAAATTATTTTAAGAGTTCATACGACAGAATGGTGGATGTGAGCTCGAGGCCTGGTGGAAAGTTTACCAATGATTACTACGGGGCTTGAACTGCTCCTTGCTGAAAATAAGATGACATGGGCACTGCAGGCAGGAGGACATAGTGTGTGTAAAGAGAGAAAAGCAAGAATCAGGGCAAGATATACTGGAGATGGAACAGAATCCTAAGCAATCAGCACTAAGAGCAGTAAGAGACAAGTATGGCAGGTGGCCCAGGTCTAGCCACTCAACCTGTATAAGCCTACAGCCATAAGGAACCATGGTAGGTTCTTAAGCAGGAGAATAACATGATGGTACTCACAGCTGATGCACAATAAACCCTGAGTGAAGTACATACCAAGATCACAACATCCATAATGAAATAGGAGGGGGAAAAAATTTCAACAAAGAGTGCTTGTTGAGGGAAGAACTAGAAAAATATCCCACCATGTGACATGCCAGGGAGCCTGTCTAACTGGTCCCAGTTTGGAGACACTGTACAGCTCAGTTCAACTCCGCTGGATCCTATACCCCCACCGCCGAACTACAAACTACTAATCAAAACAGATGAAATACCTTTCTCTCCTCTCTTCTTTCTGGTCCGGTCTATATGGTCCTTAAGCTGGATTCTAACTTGCCTTTCATTTGGTTGATCCCTTATAAAAGGATGTTTCAAGAGCTGCTCTGTGGAGGGCCGCTGCATGTAATTCTTCACCAGACACCCTTCTATAAAACTGAAAAATTTCTTGGACCTGCAAGAGAAGTAAAAACAGATCAACAAATTTCTACCAAAAAGAACTATAAATGATCAGTTAAGTCGCAAGCCTGAAAACAACGCAGAGCCTCAGGCTTCGCCATGAACATTCTGCAAGTACACAAGGACAGAATATTGTTACTATTGTTAAGAACCGTGGAGTCAGTTCTGGTCCACAGTGGCTCGATGGATCACAGAATGAAACACTGCCTGGTCTTGCAACGTCTTCACAATCATTGTGATGTGTAAGTCTACTGTTGTAGCCACTGTGCCCTGGCCACGGCTAGTGAGGGTGTTTGGGAAGTGAATGAAAAGAGAAAATAAACAGGCCACTGGGATTTGGGAATTATGGTAAAATAATCCAATATGGAGTTGCATTTTTCAAAAAGAGTTATCGTATCAACTGACAGCTAAGCAAAAAAGTCCTTTCTTTTCAAGCTTTGGTTCAGTCTGTTATGATAGTTTAGCTTAATGTACAATGCCTAATTGCTTTTATGACTGAAATAGAAAGTCAGGACATTTGGAGTTCAGAACCAACCGCTTAACACAGTTCAAAATTTATTTCATATCACCAACAACATACCATAAACAAAGAAATGAGGAAGTCAGCAAAATGAATTGGGTTTAAATCTGCTGCTTATTAATCACTTAGTGTAGGTATGGAGCAGGTAAAAGGGATAGAAAGAGGATTTCTGCACAACTGCAGGCAGACTGAGGGTAACTGCATGGTATATCTACAAAACAAGGAGAGACACAGAGGTTTAAAAAAAAAAAAAAAATCCAGCCAGGAACCAAATGCTGGTACTCTTGAACCTATTAACAGGGTAGGTTCAGTGAGAATGCCTAACTTGTTAATTTAGGAAAAGAACTTGTTAGTTTTCCATCCGTATTGTACAGAGGTACAAATGAATAGTTTTGAGGAGAGTAATGACTGTTGCCCATATTGACCCTTTTTGTCACTTTTGTTTTAGTCTGTTTCTACATGCCTGGGTCAAGATGACCCCCATTCCGAGCCTTGGCCAAGACACTGGGGTCCATCCTCTTTAGTGAAGATCAGCTTAGGAACTGTCTCGCCAGGGAAGCCTCTGCTGGGGTCACATTGCACTCAACAGACTACATACTACATATTTCTGTCTCCACTGCTCCTGGGAAATGGGAGAGGTCGAGAACGGTTCCTGGTTTTGAAGTTGTCAGCAAAGTCCACGACTGGGCATGGTACATCACAGTAGGTATGTAATAAATTTTTGTTGAATGAATGAATGGCTGTCTTTAAAAATGTAATTCAGAAAATCCGTTTAGTTCTTTCTAATTACTTCACTGCTTTGATGAAACACATACTGTTTTGCATTTTCATTCAAACCTTTTTTATTTTTCAATTCAACAAATATTTATGTATCAATTATTTTTATTTTACTATATTAAGCTTTATTAGAAATATGAGTGTGGTGATTCTGTAGGACAAGCACTGGACTGCGAAACACATGGTCAGTGGTTCAAGCTCACCAAGAGAATGATGACCATTTGTCAAGGGAGGGGGTGGACATAAAACAAAAAGGAAATACACTTTTCACTTGATGTTTGGGAACAGTTGGCTAATAAGCTCTTTTGGAAATTAAATGGACAGAATTTTCTCAGAGAAATGTAAACCTAAAAAAGAAACAGTCATAAGGAACAAACAAAATAAAGAGAGGAAGAGAACAACCAAAACCATACATAGCTTACCATTTTTTTGACTTCAGCCGGGGAGGAGGGTTTCTGGGAATGAGAAACAGTGCTCTCATTGGATGCATGTCACAGAGAGCTGAGGAGAGGAGACGGGCATATAAGTATGTCACTTAGGTTACTCATTCTTGATTTCTAGAGCTCCTTTATAATGTTCTGTCCCAATGTCCAACTCATATCTTTACGTCCACAAGCCTAGATATCTAGTTATGAATCTTAGGACCTGCTCCAATGAATTCCCAGTTAAAACACAGCAAAATATAAGGCGAACAAGAACAAAAAGAATATGCAATTCAAATAGATCAAATAGACACTGGGAAGTTTTTAATAAACTAAAGGTAAATATTCAAAACATCTTAAAGGAGTAAAACACCTTTAAATCGTCTATAACACTGCAATACTTAAAATGATTATCTGTTCATAGGATTGCTATGAGGATCAAATAAGACAAGGCTTGCACCGGCCTTAGTATGATGCCTAACAGAAAAAACACAGAATACACACAAAAGCAAGCACTCCAGGAACGTTATGTGTTCACTGTTATAGCTAGTATTACAATGAAAGAGCAAAGAGTGTATGTCCCCAGCTAAATCGCTGAATTCTGTGCGATTGTCATTTGTAGCTCTATCACTCAACCAATAAAGGTGCACACGCTGTGCATTAGTGTACCACAGTGAAAGGGCAGTGTGCACTTCCAGGTGCTTATTTACCTTCGAGAGAATCCTACAAGGCAGTTGGGAAACTGGGCAGAGAAGCAGACAATACTAGTCTCACTGTGAAAGAAAACTGAGACAATACTTCCTCTCAGTTGCTTAGAGGAAAACATGAAGGTAATGTGTGGTTTTCAAAGCAGGTGTCCGTTTCTATATTACAAACTAATTTTTCTGCTATTGATAAGCTATCTTCATTCATTCAACAAGTATTTATTCAGCACCAACTATGTACCAATAGTTATACATTCTTTGTGCAGGTCTTCCATTAAGAGGACCAGCAGGAAACGCAACTTTATCTTTTGTTCTCTGCAAGTGTGTCCCTGGCTCTGCTCAGAATTCAATTCTAGGTAGTTCCTATTTGATTTAATGCAACGGAGAAAACAGCACTCTTACAAAAGGCAGATATTTTTCATATGTAATAGGAAAAAATACATATATTCTTTAGATAAAAATTTATACCTCTATTTGTCCAATCAAAACATTAAGTAATACTAAAAGTATCATGTGTTAAAGAGCCAACTTTACAAAATACTAAGTTTAAAAAGAAATGGTAAAAAGAAGATGTACTGGATATAATCCAAACTCTGCATTATTTCAGATCACACCCATCAGCAAAGCTTCAAAGAAAATGCAGCCTGAAGACCTCCGGAAGATCTCCAAAAGGAATGGACAATTCCAAGAATTCATTTTACATCTAAAAAGTCGATGCATTTATTCTGATATGATTCTCTCATCAAAACACCCTGCCAAAAATGACTTTATCCATGGCACTGGCTTTCCTAAAGCCTTGAGATGAGGTTTAAATGACATTAAAAAGCAGCAGCCTAAAAAGTTACTTACGGGGAGCACCTTCTGCCATCTCGATGGCGGTAATGCCGCAGGACCAAAGATCACTCTACAAAAATAAAACAGTGTGTTATGGATACTGCATTCGCTATGAAGCCACTAAACTTACAATTTCTGGTATTTCTGAAAATGCAATGACTGCTCCATAAACTGACAAGAGTTTGCCAGAAAATTTTAAAGAGCTCATATATTTGTAGGGACACCTTACAAAGAAACAATACAGACAAAATCCCTCCTATCTATGACCTGGAGGTGGTACACACACAAGTCTCAAACTGTCCAAAGTCAGTGGATCAAGTCCACTAGCTGCTCCTTGGGAGAAGGATAAGGCTTTCTATTCCCACAAAAATTTAAAGCCTTGGAAACTCTATATAGGGTCATTAAGAGTCAGAACTGAGTCAACGGCACTTAAAAACAACAATGGTATAAATAATCTTTTTGTGCATGGGATCTTTTCCTTTTGATTTCTGTAAAATATTGATTTTAAAATCTGAATGTTGATATTATTCTCTACTCAAAAAAAACTTCCATGAAGGTGGGCATTCCTGTTTGTTTCCTCATTTCCTTTTGTATTCCCAGAATCAGAATGGTATACAGCAGAGTCAGTAAACACACTGGTTGATGAATGGAGGGAGTCTCATCAGTCAATGTCCTAGCAATCCAAACAAGACATTAAAGAGGTAGATAACCTGTTTATTTCACAAGTATCCTGTTTATATGCTACTATGGCACTGTGGGTTAATGTGCTGGACTGCAAAATCACTTAAACCACAAGGTCCAGTGGTTCAAGCTCACCAGCCGCTCCTCGGAAACCCTATACAGGGTCGTTATGGGTTCGAACCAACTCAGTGGCACTTAACAACAACAACATTCAAACCAAGGAATCACTTAAACTAGCTCAAGCGTAATAAGCTTTTAAATAACATAATTATGCTAAAAACAAAGTTCAGACATACATGCGGGGGCTTCAAAAATGGAATTGAAAAATTATGGAATTTTCCCACAAGCTTTTTGAAGTCCCTTTGTAGGTGTGATTTCAAAAGAATAAGAACAAGCTGACACATTTCTCCCTTGTTTTTATGGTAATTTCTAGTTCATAGGGGCGCAAAGGAAGGGTCACCACCCTAAGCCAGTGACCAGCCTTCATGGTGAAACAGATGTTAACAGACACCCGATGTGACTGATGAACACCAAGCACACTAATGGTCTGAGGGGTGAACTTGCTAAAACAGCTGTCCAGGATACTAACTGGGCCTTTCCAGTTTATAACAAACAAGCTAAACGACATGACAAAAAAGTGAACAGAAAAATCTAGGGCATAGAAATTTTGTACAGGACCCAGAATCTCCAGACAGTAAGTATCATTGGGGGGGGGGGGGAGACACACAGGTATATTTTAGATGGAGAGACTCAACAGACAAAACAACCAAATACAACGGAAATGAGAAATTAGTTTTAGATTACTTAAGTGCAAGAAGAGTTTGGATCTGTTGAAAATGTTCTCCAATTTTAGAGATATGTAATGATGTCTCAGAGGCCTGGCATGGTCATGCAGAATAAGTAATGAACCACAAGGTTGGTTAGAACAGCAAGGCTGGCAGTTCAAACTCACCAGCTGCTCCTCAGAAAGCCTACATGAGTTGGAAACCAACTCTATTGCACTTAACAATAATGTCTTAAATAGTCAAAAAACTTATAACCCATTAGTACTTCAGCATATAAAAAATAAAACTTCCTCTATACCATGGGCTTATTAATTTGGGTAACATTAGTTGGGTATTTAGAAAAGATACTAAAATACACTGGAGTGTACTAAGACAAACTCAATTTTGAGTTATCACTCACTACCAGGTACATTTAATACTCTGATTCATTTAATTCGTAAGGCAAAGGAATTTTTAAAAATAAGTTCTGTAAAACACATTCAACCTGAGGCTGATTATCAAATATGGGCTTTATACCTGGCTCAGAGAAATGGCATTATTGATTTAAATTCCTAGAGATCACTCTAAGAATTTACACATATGTGTACACCAAATCAAATCAAATTAAAGTTGTAAATCTCTTCAAGAAGAACACCCTAACATTTTGCATACAGGAAACTGTTGCTATCTATTGTGACATTTTTAAAAGATTCTAATATATTCTTCAAATATAAAAGGAAAGTTAACAGAGCAGAGGCATTTACTTATGACCAAAACCACTTTATGTAAAGTGGCCCAGACCACCTTAGACCTCAGTGTACTACTGATTAAGGGAAACACAGGTGGTACAGCAGAATGGACCAAAAAAAAAAAAAAAGAGAGAGAGAGAGAGAAAGTGTCAAAATGTATTCCGGGCAAGTTTAAAACTTCTCGCGGAAAAAAGCAGATAGAGTGTGCTATTTGTAAGCAAGACCTCCATCCCTCCAAAGTGTCATGACCCTGTGACAACCCAGCACTGCCTCTTACTCTGTAATCATAGGTGGCATCTGGGTTCTCGTCACAGGCGATGACCTCGGGAGCCATCCAGTAGGGGGTGCCGATGAATGTGTTTCTCCTTCCAACTGTTCTGTCCAGCTGAGCACTCACACCAAAATCAACTGAGAGAGGAAGAGAAAGGAAGGAAAAGTAGAACACAATTAACAAACAAATATTTCAAAGGGAAAAAAAGGTAAGGTGCCCTCTGAGTGAACTTAAACAGTACTATTTTGTGAACATGCACTTCTCTTCAAGGCAGGCGGCATCCATCAGTAAGGAGAGCAAAGTCACCAAGACAGTCCAATCCCCCACTAGTCCATAAGCTCCTGGGAGGCTGGGATCTGCTGCCTCCCAAAGATTCCCTAACAATGACCAGCAGAGGGCCTTTCCAGTGCTTTCAGAGAACATGCCTGCCACAATCAAGTTATAGAAAACCCCAAGTTCGGGAGAAGTGACTGAGACCCACTTGATTTAACCTCTAAAGTCACAATAATGCCTATATAAAGGTTTCTATGGAAAGAACAGAGTACTGCATTAAATAAAAGGAATCAATATGAAACTCAAATATACTAAGAAACAAAACATCCCCAAAGCATCTGAGACTTCTGCTAATTTTTCAGAGCAACCCTTCCATCCCACCCAGTTTGACTATAAGTGATGACCATGAGGAAAAGGCCAATGCTGGGAGATAGGGTTGGCAGAAGACCCACAGAGCCCAGGGGAATGAATGCCTGAATCATCACTACATGCACTGCCTTCATCCCCAGCAGGAGCGCACAAAAGTGAGGGAGTCCATGCAGTAGGGACTGGGAAGTGCTGAAATCATTCCCAAGGGTCAGAGATTCTAATCCTGGGTAAAGCACATGCTCATGAGAAACTACCTGGCCAGAGGGAGTGCTCACTCGCTGCATGTTCCTCTTGAGACAGAGGCGAAGGGCCATGCACGGCCAAAACCTAAGCAAACTTCACAGTAACTTGTGCGTGAACAGCGATCAGTCACTAAGTGGTTGAGGGACCCTTCACAGGACTAGAGCAGGGAACACTCCCAGCACCTGGAGTCATTTCTGTGTGAGAACAGAGTGCCTCCTATCTTAGTTTGTGGGGGATTGTACAATTGGGCAGACTATTCCTCCAATGGTGACTGATAAATGTAGGCACTGTGCAAGAAAGCAATTATGAAAGCTTTATTTTTTAAAAAGTACAACTACTGTGCCTAAGACTTTTGAAAGAAAAGTGAACTTCTAAGCACAAATAATTCCAGCCCCCTCCCCCTAGGGTGCTGTTCAAGTAGCAGTAAAGTGCATGCTAATTCTTAATTCTGTTCAACATATTGATGGAGCCATTCACTGTAACAGTGGAATGGGGACTGATTCAACTGAGGGGAATAAGCAGTATTTTCTTTTTTTTTTTATATATAAAAAAGCATCAATTGAGTTATCTCTAGGAAGATGCCATGGGCTTCATCCATTCATATGTTTACTGAGCACCTACTACAATTCACCTACTATAATTCAAAGGCACTCTGGTAGCGCAGTGGTTACGAATTGGGCTGCAAACTGCAAGGTCAGCAGTTCGAAACTACCAGCTGCTCTGTGAGAGGAAGATGAGGCTCTGTCTGTAAAGATTTATAGCCTTGGAAACCCTGCTTAGGGTCGTTATGGGTCAGAATCGACTCGACGGCACTTAACAACAACAATTGAAGGCAGTATGTTATAGGTATTAGACAACAATACTCTAGTAAATAAAACAATCCTAGTCATTGCACTTCCAGAACTTAGCTTCTGGTAAAGGAGATAGAGCTACAGGTAATTAACCATATAATAATAAACCATGATCAGAACTACAAAGGAAACCAGAGTGGGAGCACCCAGTATGAATCAGATGGTGAGGGATGGCCTCTAAGAATGAGGGAAAATGTGCAACTTTTTAAAACTGAGGGTAGCTACTCCCAATGTGGATAATACAAGGGGGACTTCAGAAAGTTTGTGGGAAAGTGAAATTAAAATGTTTTGTAGCCTCCTTGTATGTACAAAGGTTCTGAGGCATGTTCCAAGAAATAAAAGGACAGTGACTGAGGAAAACAGGTGAGGTGGAGGGAGTCACAAAATAAAAATAGGAAGGGTCAGATTCTGTTGAGCTTTTTCCACGGAGAGCAAGAACTCCAGACTGTCTATTCAGAATGATACAGGAAGCCACCAGAGGTCTTGGTCTGACTTAAACATCAGTCTGACTGTTGTATAGAGGACAGACCAAAAGGGAGAATTGGGGTGAGGGAATTGAAGCTAAGGTTCCAAATAATAAGCCCAGTTTCTACATTCTTAAACAGAACAGAAACAAAAAATATGGGTAACAGGCTGTACTTTTAGATAAATGACAAATAGGGACAGGAAGCACTGCTGGTGGATTCTCAGGGCAAGTATGAAGAGGATTCAGAAAGTTTGGGGAAAACTCCATTATAACTGTTAATTTTCATTTTTTTCCAGGAATTTTTGAAGCCCTTTCATATTAGATACTGCTGCACATTCAAAACGTACCTAGTTTCACCTCTGCATTCTCAGTCAGCAGTACATTCTGGCCCTTGATGTCCCGATGAATCACGTGATGAATGTGAAGATGTGCCAGCCCCTGAGGAGGGAAGACAGTGCTGAATTTTATGTCTTTGTTGCGGTAATCCAGGAACATAGACCTTTTATAGCTGAGTGCATAGGTGATCCAAAGTTTTTGCAAACTCCAATTTAGTAAATTTCCAGGAAGACACTGGACAGACAGAGAGAGAGAGAAGGCCTCCTCTACCCTGCAACATTCCAACTGTAAGTAACATCGCCATCTTCTAGCTGTGCCTTTCAGACACACTTTAGATTACCATCTGCAGTTTCTCTGCTATAATTTGTGCTATTTATGTACAGGGTGGTTCCTTTCCCACGCTAAACGCCTATCTTTCAGTGGATGACCCCATGGGTATATTTGAACTAAACACATCCCAGGGGGAAAATGGAAGGGCTAGGTAGAGCAGGGTTTCAAATCTGGCTTTTGGACACTGGTTAGTTTTCCCATTGCACAGAGACAAATTGCTAACTGCTGATCAGCCTGACCTCTATGCTAAACACAGAACAGAATTCTGCTGTCATAGTGCTTTGTGATCAAATATAATGTATTTCTTTCTCAAGTAAGAAATAAAACCAACTGGGCACAGAGCAATTTTTGATGACCTGGGGGTTAATGTGCCAGACTGCAAAGCCATTTGAACTGCAAGGTCGGTGGTTCAAGCTCACCATCTGCTCCTCGGAAACCCTATACAGGGTCGCTATGGGTCAGCACCAACTCAATGGCACTTAACAACAACATATCTGAAACGATGTCTCTTATGAAATGTAGTCAAAGAACAAAAACATATGCTGCATCCAAATATGCATTATTCTTACCACTCAGTTACTTGTGCTGTTCCTTAACTAGAGATGGGGAAACTAGAGCTTGCCTCCTATTTACTCTGAAAAGCAACCGATTCACAATACAACCTATTTACTCTGAAATGTCTTCACTCTAAAAGGCAAAAAAGGAGCAAGGGTTTGTTTGATTTTCCTGTTTATCTGTGGGGTTTTATTATTATCATTATAATCATAATCATTAAGGAGCTCTAGTAGCATCAGGCTGCGAACCTCAAGGTCAGCAGTTCGAAACTACCAGTTGTTCTCTGGGAGAAAGATGAGGTTTTCTGCTCCCATAAAGATTTATAGCCTTGGAAACCCTGTACAAGGTCACTAAGAGTTGGAACCGATTCCGGGGTAAATAACAACAACAACAATTATTATCACTGAAGCCCTAGTGTGGTGCCATAGGATAAGCGCTAGACCTGAAGGTTAGTTTGAACCACAAGGTCGGTGGTTCAAACACAACAGCTGCTCCTTGGAAATCCTATACAGGGTCACTGTGATTCGGAACTGACTCAGCGGCACGCAACAATTGTTATCATTACTTTGTAAGAGAAAAATGAAATACAGCAGCTGACCTAGAACATTAATTTTTCTAATATACATATTTTTGAAATAAGCGTGTAGCAGAGTGCCAGTGAAGCAGAATCCAGTTTATTTGACGTCTCTGTTTGTTTTTCCACAACACAGGATGTGCAGTATTATACCACAATGCACCAACGAGGGAAGAAAAGCACTAGAAATATATGGAATCTTAGTGTTGTAATTAGGAAGAAAGTTCCTTCTTTGAGCATGGCATAAATGACAACACCTTTTATCCTTACCAAAAAAAAAAAAAATACATAGTTTCTCAGATTCCTGCATAATTCTTACTTCGATTATTTCCATTTACTTTTATTCTTTAATTTGTACAAACCTCTTCCTGACACTTTGACAAAATTAACTTAGCAACAAGCATAAATATCCACTTCTCAAACAAAGGCAGTAAACAGATATGTGCAATTTTATTCTTTACTAGTAGTAAATTGAAGGGGAAAAAATGTCTACATCACTGTTTGTACAGCTTCTGCATGTAAAATGGTATAAAGTGTATCTGATAGTCCTTTGAATGTTAACCTGAATGAATGATTATTCCAAACAATAACCGCATTGTGCTGTACATGTAGGACCTGGGATAAGACAACGTCAGTGTGCTCAACTACTCCCAGGCCACCATTATTCAAATCAACAAACACCCTTCCTACAGCAAATGAATTAATGTCTTTAAAAAAATAAGAACACATTTTTCTTCTAATCCTATCTCATTTAAAGACATAAAACAAAGTACTAATCAAGACTGTCCTTTAGTATGGGTTATGGAAGGCTGTAACGTGCTCATACTGAATATGAAATATTGGTTTCCTAGGATAAGCACCGAATTGCTAACCACAAGGTCAGCAGTTCAAAACCACCAGCCACTCCTTAGAAACCCTATACAAACCTCTATGAGTTGCAACCAACTCAATGGTACTGAACAACAGCAACCATGTCTAGGAGTCCTAGTGAGGCACTGCATGATAAAAAGTGGACTAGTAACACAAGGCCAGCAGTTCAAATCCGCCAGTCATTCTTCAGAAACTCCAAACAAGGTTACCATAAGTCAGAACCGACTCAATGGAACTTAAAAACAACAATCATACCTAGGAGAATCCTGGTGATCTAATGAGTTGTCTGTATTGGGATGCTAACTGCAAGATCAGCAGTTCGAACCCACTAGCCACTCGGTGGCAGAAAAACGAGGATTTCTACTCCCGTAAGATTATACGCTAGAAAACTCTATACAGGGTGGCTGGAAACCAGAAATGACTTGATAGCACATGACTACAACAACAACCATGCCTAGAGGGGCCTGATGTATTGTCGTAGCATAAGCACTAGACTACTAATTACAGGATTGGCAGTACAAACCCACCAGTGGCTCCAAAGAAACCCTATACAGGGTTGTTATAAGTCCGAACCAATTCCACAGCACTTAACAACAACCATGCCAGGAGCTATAGGATAAGCGTTTGTGGACTGCTAACCTGTGAGTTGAAACTGACTCGACGGCAACAATCGTGTCTGTGTCTGGTCGCTGTGTTAGGGCTGATTCAATGGCTGTGGGTGGCTTTTTCATTTTGATCCACGTCTACATTTCCCATGAGATTACACCAACTTCTTATCATCTTGCTTTCCCTAGATCCAAACCAACCCTTAGTAATCCCTATGATAAATGAACACTAGGGTATGATGTATACTTGTTGTTAGGTGTCATCGAGTTGGTTCCAACTTACAGCCATCTATGCAAACGGAAGGAAACTCTGCCCATTCATGCAGCAGCCTCACAGTTGCTGCTATACTTGAGCCCATTGCTGCTGCCACTGTGTCAATCCATCTCGTTGGGAATCTTCATTTTTTCACTGACCTTCCACTTTGCCAAACATGATGTTCTTCTCCAGGGACTGCTATCTCCTGACAACATGTTCAAAGTATGGCAGAAAAAACTCACTTCTAAGGAACATTTTGGCTTTACTTGTACCAACACAGATTTGTCCCAAGAGGTTGCTATCTGCCCTATGCCTTACATGATATGATTCATATATGATACTTCATTTAATTCTCTTACTAATAGTACACTATTTCTAGGATTGTTATCTAAAATTTACAGATAAGGAACATTAAGTCCTAGAAGTAGAATAACTTTACCAATGGTCTGCAATAAGTAAGTAATAGAGCCAGCACTCAAACACAAGTATGGCTTTCTCCTATGTTAACCACTGTTTTAGACTGCCTCCCATACTAAGAGTTTTAGCTATTAATATCATATACATCTGCTCATTTACTAAATTCTCTTTCAGTAGCTTAGGAATAGAACTGGAAGAAAAATGTTTCCTAATTTAAAGATATTAATTCAAACCTACTTTCCCACTTTTAGGCTCTGCTTCCTATGATAATCATAAAAATCAGGATGCTGACATTTTAACAATGAAGTTTGAGTGTGTTCACAAAAAAGATGGCTATCCTATACCAACACCTAGTTTTCCTAAAGGAATTGGCTTATTTTTAAGGGCACCATAGGAATCCTCGTGTGGCACAGTGAGCTAATGTGTCAGACAGCAAAGTCGTTTGAACTGCAAGGTCAGTGGTTCAAGCTCACCAGCGGCTCCTTGGAAACCCTATACAGGGTCACTATGGGTCGGAATCGACTCGACGGCACTTAACAACAACAACAAAAATTATTAAAGAAATTAAGACTTTTTGTAGTCATTTGTTGTTGTTGTTGTTGTTAAGTGCCGTCGAGTCGGTTTCAACCCATAGCGACCCTGAAAGGGTTTCCAAGGCTGTAAATTTTTACGGGAGCAAGAACGCCTCATCTTTCTCCCGCAGAGCTGCTGGTAGTTTCGAACTGCTGACCTTGCGGTTCGCAGCCCGATTCGTTACCACTACGCTACAGAGCTCCTTGTAGTAATTAGAGGGCATTTTTAGTATGGGTTATCTTTTCTTAGGAGTCCTGGTGTGGCACTGTGGGTTAAAGCGCCAGACTGCAAAGCCGTTTGAACTGCAAGGTCGGCGGTTCAAGCTCACCAGCCGCTCCTCAGAAACCCTATACAGG